GCCTCGGCCTCCCAAAGTGCTGGTATTACAGGTGTCAGCCACCACGCCCGGCCTCCCCTTTTCTTAATGTGTTCAAAATATTTTCTCCTTTGTTCTCATTTTTTTTCTCGCATTTCTGCACATTAAGAAGAGCTGGAGAAATGGGAACCTCAAGAGATTAAGTAATTGACCTCAGGTCACTTATTGAAAGAGAAGAGAAGCTTTGGAAATTTAGAATTTGGGGTAGACAATTCCTTGTCCCACTCTTGTGCTGAGTCTAGCTCTGTGAGCTGTGCTTTTCTCTGCTAGAGGGTGTGTTTTTTCTCCATCTGGGATAAACTAGGGCCTCCAAGAGGTTGCATCTAACCATGTTGCTGTATCCCCTCACAGGCCGGCTGCCTACCCTCCAGACTGTCCGCTATGGCTCCAAGGCTGTTACCCGCCACCGTCGTGTGATGCACTTTCAGCGGCAGAAGCTGATGGCTGTGACTGAATATATCCCCCCAAAACCAGCCATCCACCCAGCATGCCTGCCATCTCCTCCCAGGCCCCCACAGGAGGTAAGGAGGAGTTTGGATACATGTCACTTGGTGGTGGGATGGTGGATTAAAGTAATCTTGTCTCTGGCCATAGTGAAGTAGGACACTCAGCCATTGTCACTCACGTAATTATTTCACTTTGACTGCCTGATCCAGATACTTTAAGATGAAATCTGCACTTGATTCTATATTGGCTTTTGGGCTCTGGATTGGACGGGACTGCTGAATTTCCTTCTTGTCTCCAAAAATGTGTGTGAGAGCTACCTGAGCCAGTGGGGTTGGGGAGAGTATCTCTCTAATCTTTTTTTTTTGAGACAGAGTATCGCTCTTGTTGCCCAAGCTGGAGTGCAGTGGCGCGATCTCGGCTCACTGCAACCTCTGCCTCCCGGGTTCAAGTGATTCTCCTGCCTCAGCCTTCTGAGTAGCTGGGATTACAGGTGCACACCTGTAATGATAAATAAATTAGCCACACCTGGCTAATTTTTGCATTTTTAGTAGAGACGGGGTTTCACCATGTTAGCCAGGATGGTTTTGATCTCCTGACCTCGTGATCTGCCTGCCTCGGCCTCCCAAAGTGCTGGGATCACAGGCGTGAGTCACCCCGCCCGGCCATCTTTTTTTTGTGTGTGTGTGTGAGATAGAGTCTCATTCTGTCGCCCAGGCTGGAGTGCAGTGGGACATTCTTGGCTCATCGCAACCTCTGCCTCCTGGGTTCAAGTGATTCTCCTGCCTCAGCCTCCTGAGTAACTGGGATTATAGGCGCATGCCACCATGCCCAGCTAATTTTTTGTATTTTTAGTAGAGACGGGGTTTTGCTCTGTTGGCCAGGCTGGTCTCGAACTCCTGACCTCAAGCAATCCGCCCGCCTTGGCCTCCCAAAGTGCTGAGATTACAGGCATGAGCCACCGCACCCAGCCAAATTTCTCAATTTTAAACTAACACTGCAAAAGAGTTATATTTATATTGGCAAAATGATTCAACATGAGTATAGTGTCAGATTGATAGTTGAAGTAATTTGAACAATATTATTGTCAAGCACTGTTGACTGGGGCAGACTGCAGACCTGTTTTCGGGGGAGTGGAACTGAGCATTTTCAGGTTTGAAAAACACTGCTAAAGACTGCGATTATCTAATGAAAGTGAAAAGGTTAGAGGAGTGGGAGATGTTACATGTCCCTGAGAGTCAGGGGCCCAATTATCCTACTTGTTCCCCGATCTTTTGCACATTTGGGCATCACTGGAAGCCCTAGAACCTACCACAGAGGGAGCAAGGTTGCCAAGAGAAGTCAGCTGATATTTCCTTGGTCATTGCTTTCCAACTTCAGGAGACAGGCCTCATCAGGCTTCTCCGCCGGGAGATAGCAGCAGTTTTCCAGGACAACCGAATGATAGCCGTCTGCCAGAACGTGGCTCTGAGCGCAGAGGACAAGCTTCTTATGCGACACCAGCTGCGGAAACACAAGATCCTGATGAAGGTCTTCCCCAACCAGGTAGGGAGCAGGCCCCTTGGCATGGGTTGCCCATCTTCCCCCAACCCCCACCAGACTCAGACCTCACCATCTGCTCCCCAGTGATGATACTTCTTATTCCTCCTCTCCATGAGTCACTGTCTAATCTGGTGTCTAAGCTATGATTAGGGGATGAGAAGACCCTTGGGTTGCACCCTCAGCCTCATGTGGCCCATGACCCACGAGGTGGCTCTTCTTCCCACTTGTTCCCGATGTCATTTTTTCCTGCTGTCCCAGGTCCTGAAGCCCTTCCTGGAGGATTCCAAGTACCAAAATCTGCTGCCCCTTTTTGTTGGGCATAACATACTGCTGGTCAGTGAAGAGCCCAAGGTCAAGGAGATGGTACGGATCTTAAGGACTGTGCCGTTCCTGCCGCTGCTAGGTGAGCAAGCACTCCTGCCAGTTAGGGGTGGGATGAAGAGGGGCAGGTGCTACAGCAGCCTGCTGCCATCTGCTCAGCTTGTCTTGGTAAAACCGTGAACGTTCTTGGAGAGAGCATCCTTTCACGGATGGGGCCTGAGTCAACAGCACATTTATTGAGGGCCGACTGTCATTCCCACACCTGTGTTGTCTCACTACCCCAGGTCACTTCTGCACTGGAGGGAAGACTAGGAAAGGCAGACATGGAGCAGGGAGAGAAAATTCAGATACCTTGAGTCTAACAGTGGGGTAGTGGGTGCTGAAACCCACACAGATGAAGATATTTAAAACAAGTAGCCCAAATAAAGGGTGCCGAGGGCCAGTGACCAGTGTTTCTCAGACTCCCCTGATGCTGACTCACTTAAGGGGCAGAGAATACTGCACGTGTCCCTTGGAAATCCAGATTTCATAGGTCTCTGTGGGGAGGGGGTGGGACAGGAATCTGATTTTTTTTTTTTTTTTTTTTTTGAGATGGAGTCTTACTCTATCACCCTGGCTGGAGTGCAGTGACGCAGTCTCAGCTCGCTGCAACCTCTGTCTCCTGGGTTCAAGCAATTCTCCTGCCTCAGCCTCTTAAGTAGCTGGGATTAGAGGCACCTGCCACTACACCCAGCTGATTTTTTTTTGTATTTTTAGTAGAGATATGGTTTCACCATGTTGGCCAGGCTGGTCTCGAACTCCTGACCTCAGGTGATCCACCCACCTCGGCCTCCCAAAGTGCTGGGATTACAGGCGTGAGCCA